GAAAATCAATTTCTATTTATATCTTATTTTTACAGACAACAACATTAATAGGTCTTCTGAAGACAGCTAGACTGCTGCGTTTGGTAAGGGTAGCACGGAAATTGGACAGATACTCAGAATATGGTGCTGCAGTTCTGATGCTCCTTATGTGCATATTTGCACTAATTGCCCACTGGCTTGCTTGCATTTGGTATGCCATTGGAAATGTAGAAAGACCTTACTTGGCTCACAAGATTGGCTGGCTGGATTCTTTAGGAGAACAATTAGGAAAACATTACAATAAGAGTGATGCAAGCTCTGGACCATCCATCAAGGACAAATATGTTACAGCACTTTATTTTACCTTCAGCAGTCTGACAAGTGTAGGATTTGGAAATGTGTCTCCAAACACCAACTCAGAGAAAATCTTTTCCATCTGTGTCATGTTGATTGGCTGTAAGTAGTTTTATCTTACTAATTTTTTATTGTTTTTGCAGTGCTTGAGCAAATAACAGTTTGAGCTAATAAGACTGTAAGGATGCAGCCGGAAGGGCAAATTCCCAGGAAAAGCAATGTTATATGCAAAATGTGTTGTGACTCATGCAGTGTCAGGAAGCAGTCAAGTTGCTTGATGACCCAAAATCTGTTATCCAAACTGTCACAAGCTGTATGTTGTGTATTAGGGTCTGTAAACAAATCCTGCATAAGGTGGGAAGCTGAGTTTTGAGTGGATTTAGGAAACTATAACCCATCATTTTCGATAATGATAATTATATTTCATTTGTTGGTTTAAACCTGAACCTATAAATGAATGCATACCTTCTTACCTCTGCCCTTTGTTCTTGACTTGTGCTTAACCTTAGTTCCTAGTTCTTAGTTCTACCGAAGCCTGTAAAATTAGATGAATCTGCCTTACAACACTAAATTCAGGAGTACAAATTTCCAAAGATAAATATTACCAACTTGATTACGATTTAGTATTTAAGCCTCATCTGCCAACTGAGTTGGTATTTATACAATTAAATTAATAAAAAGCTTCAGGTACATCAATTCCACATCTCAGAAAATGTTACTAGTCTCATCTGAGCTGTTTTACATACAAAGTACATTGTAAGAACAATTGCATCATCTGCAAAACCCAATGATACGACTGAAGTAAGTTTCGTTTCTTTTTAATCCAGCATTAATGTATGCCAGTATTTTTGGAAACGTATCTGCAATAATCCAAAGACTCTACTCGGGAACCGCACGGTATCACATGCAGATGCTGCGAGTAAAAGAGTTCATACGCTTTCATCAGATCCCCAACCCTCTGCGGCAACGACTTGAGGAATACTTCCAGCATGCATGGACATACACCAATGGCATTGACATGAACATGGTATGTTGTTCTGTTTTTCAGGCATGGGTGCTGAGCAATAGATAAATGTATGAGAATTTAGAAAGAGATTGTAAGTCTTTAGTATTTATGAGCTGTAAACATACAAGCTTAAGAACAACGATATATTGCAATTATTGAAAACCAAAGCATTACACATTTGGCATCCAAACATTTAACTGCCTAGATTATTACAAGCTATATCAGAAATCTGAATTCTCACTGTGCATAGGAAAGCTTGAGAACTGCAGTTGACTATTGTGAGTTTAAGATAAGAAAAAACAGTCATAGGTTTCTTATTTCAGATATAGCCATTCCAGTATTTTGTTTGTTCTTTGGCCTGATTTTCCACTTCCAGTATCAAACAAGAGTACTTTTGTTGGTATCTGCAGAGTTACTCTTCTATAAAACCTGTGGAGATCAATTCTTTTTCAAAATCCTATCGTGTAGTCTAGAACAGGTATATTGGGGGTGGATGGAAGAGAGGAGCAGGCAAGTGGATTAGCTGCTCTTTTCAGAGTGAAGTACAGTGATCATATGATAGTCTGAACAGTAAGGTTCACTTGCATTCACAACCACGAAATTCTGCACTGAAAGTCGACTGAGTACTACTAACCATTTAGCAATCCACAGAATCTCATTTCTAGGAAGTGGCAAGGTACAACACACCTTTTCTGTTCTTGATAAAATAATTGTAAATGCTCCTTATATAAAAATACGTTATGTTGCCAGCTAAAAAGAAATAACAATCTGCTAATGAGCAAAAGTAAGCATCTATATTTCTGGCTTATTTTCTGGAGACAGCAAGTTTTTTTCTGAAAAGTTGACAAAGGTTTGAAGAGCATTGTACATCTTAAGGATCTGTGAATCTGTGTCTTTAGAGGGATGATTTCCAGAGCTATTCTGATCTATAGAGTCTTTGCAGAGCTCTCTATAAAGTTGGCAAGAACAAGAAAATCTATACATTTTTGTAACAAGTTAACTAGAAATCAACCTCTAAAATTTTGACATAAATTCAAACACCTTCCATGTGGCATCTGTACATAAGTTTGTGAATGATTCTCAGAGTGGTACACGTTTATGCAATAAGCAGAAACAATGGTCTTGATTAAAAGCTTTTATGAAGCTAAATCAGTGACAGCTTGACTTTATGGTTACCATTAAGTAAAGCAGATCTTAAAAGTAAGACAGCAAATTAAATATATTGAGTTTCGCCTCCCACTTCCATGAGTCCCCTCTCTAGAAGGGTATTACACCCAGTGCAGGACAAAGATACTTGTATAAACCTCTGCTGGGGATTACTGCAGTGGAAGGCAGCATCAGTAGCTTCATCCTGCATGGCACTGAATGGCCCTCATTCCCTCTGATGGCAAATGGGATTGTGGGATACTCGGCACTTTGCAGGATCAGGCCCTTGAGCTGCAGGTGGGTGCAGCCTAAGCCTAAAGTAGCACATTGAATTATTTCTGAAGATATTACAAAATCACATATGCCTTAACTAATACATTACCACTAAAGAATGTACTAAGAACACCTGTTTCACATGAAATAGTAGCTAAAACTGGATGTTTTCAGGTTAAACTTTGCATAATGAAGGAATTGGTGTACTGGAATTAGTCTTGGATTTGTCATTAATGTGAAATACTAACTAAATGGATTAAACAGCCCATATTCTGCAATATGATTGTGAGGCAGTATGGAGGCTCTGTTTTAAATAAAATGTGACAAAAAAATCAGTTTAGTATCTTGTTTTGTTATATTTTATTTTTTATTCTGTTCACAATTCTATCCCTCGAGTTTTATGGCAGTCACTTAATTTTCTTGAAAAGTGAGTTTAAATATATTACACTTAGTGCAAGGATAAGATAAGAATTGTGTGATTTATGTTGTACTTATGAAAGATTTATCTCTTTCCTGTCTGCTTCATACCTAAATACATGGAATAACACCACCCACTGGTAAGAGCAGGAGGTATTTATATCAAATTTAATTCCAGTATAAAGTGTGGAGAATATCCATGTTATCTGTTGGGTTTAGAGCTTGTTCAATGCTTTCTAATTTTAATCGTAACTTTTTGCATGATGAAGGGGTAGAGAGCAAAGGGAAATAATCCAAGTAGAATCAGATGTGGGGCAAAATGATTACTAAGAATTAGAGATTAAGAAATGCTAACCTAACCACCTTTATTAATCACTGTTTTACCCCACAACTCAAAACATGCTTCTTTGCCCAAAAAAGGTCATGTGCATATTGGTTTGCTTTAGATAGTTGCTCTGTAGAAATGTCACTCTGACAAAGTTGCCATGCTGATCATTCTGCATTTTCCTTTGCGTGAAAACTCTTAGTTCAAACCATATATGCATGTTAGCACAAGCTCCGATGAAGTTTTCTTGGCTATAAGCCATGTGCATATGAGATGGACTTGCATGTGGTATTAATTTTGCATGAAATATTTGCATTTACACACCGAAGGGCTAATATTGTCCTCAGACAAAAGTGTTTGACTCCTGTCAATGTTTACTGGGAGTTTTTTGCAAATAACTGAAGGCAGAATTTTATCCAATGTTTTTCTTTATCATTTCATGACTGAAAACTGAATAAAATTCACTCAGCCCTCTTTCTCCTTTGAAATATGAAATGCATGAATAATTTACATTTTATATATATATATGTACATGCAATGTATACACAAACACAGTCATATATATATATAAAAATAATATTATAGAATACGTGTCAAAAGATGCTTTTAATTATCATCAGTAGTACATTTAAGAATTCAGGAAAAGTGAAAAAACACTCCAACTTCTAACCCCAGGAATAATACTGCACTAAGACTAAATAAACTTGATTTCCTAAACAAAATCCTGTGTTTTATATTGAAAACAAGAAGATAATACTTTATGCTCATTTGAAATGGCTAAACTTAAAATTAGTTTAAAATATCTGCAGGTGAAATATGCTGAGAACATTGTTTATTTGTTCATTTGTTCCCCTCTGCTTCATTTCTACATCTCTTTGATGATATTTCATTGCATAATATATTTTGATAAGAACAGTTCCACATAATTATGCATGGACTGGATAAACAGGATTTGGGATTTACTTTAATCTGGATAAAAATCTTGAGTCTATAGAATAAACATAATTTAAATCATATCCCTGTGGTATAGACTGGCAAAGTTAAATTACAAAAATAAAACAGTGTATATTGTTTCGCAAAAGATGTCACGAGTCCCAAAGATTCAAAGATATTATTATTATTTTTTAAAACATCCTATTCTGTTTTTCCTAAACTCTCTTTTCCTTCTTTTCGCCCGTTCATTCCAATGTTATCAGTCCAGTACTGATACTAGCATGCCTGTGATGCTTACCCTAAAAAGATGACATATTTAGTGTTTGAAATCCTGTTTTAAGTTATGCATGTATTTTACAATCCTCCCCTCCTCTTCTTTCCATGGATTTTCTGTGCATCTGAATAGCTTTATTGGTTTATTTTACCTTTAAAAAGAGTTCAAAGAAGTAAATAAGGGGGACAAGCTTTGGAAAGTGTTTAGCCAAATGTACATGTTAATTAATACCTTGGATATGGGACAGTTGCCTTTTTATTTTGGGTTTTACCCAGTACTATGAAAGGAGAGAGCAATTCAGATTTTTAATGTAAAAATTTAAGGAAACTTCTCCTGCAAGCATCCAAGAAAATGGTCGATTTTCCATTTGTGATCAGTTGTCTTGGCCACAGTGATCATGCAAGTACAGCAGAGCACACACCTCTCTTGAAGGTTCAGACCCAGCAATGCTACGGTATCAAGTAAAGGACAGGTTCACCATTGCTTTGGTAAGGCTTCTTTTGTGAGAAGTTGACCACTGCTAGCCAGATGACACCGCTACGTTTGTTGTTCTTGCATTTCCTCCCTCTGTGATCACTTCTTATGATGAAAGCAATTCTATCAATAGAACTATTGCCAGCAATATCTTTGAACCAGAGAAGTTCCTTATACCATCAGAAGGGTAATCCAAAACAGAAGTGTTTGGAACAAAGCTAGTAGTAATTGGTTAAATAGAGAAAATATGTAATCATGGTGGAAAGCGGTACTGCTATTTGTCTGTATGTCATAACGGAAATGATAAGACACATAAGACTATCAGAAAGCACCTCAGATGTGATTAGCTATAAAACTGTTCTTTCATTTTCTACAACAAGATCACTTAACATGAATGCCTACATTTATTTGAGTTACAAAAAGACCTCATAGAAAAAAAAAAAAAAGACGTTCAGGAATGTCAATCTATTTGCAAAGTGATCCTGTATCAGTTTCCCACTGCATTGCATTTTGTCGTCTAACATCTCAAAAACAAAAGCAATGAACAGTTGTCCAACTGTCATTATATTTTTGGAAAGACATGTTCAGCTTCCAACTTCTACAGACATTAAACTTTTCTGTTGATGAGGGAGTCAACCGCCTAAGAAACTGAAACCGTTTTCTGTTCTTCTTACCCAGCAATGTATTGTATCTCAGATATCACCTTTCAGATGTACTTAGAAACTGTAATAAGATTATAGATGAAGAACAATTGACTGCAGCACCAGTAATTTCAACATTAAAATGTCACACAAGTCTATGTCATGGCACTGACTGAAAGCAAAAGATCCTATTTCTTGATGAGATTGTCAGACTTCAAATCTCATTGAAAAGCAAATTAGCTCATCATCACACACTGCTTCTCTTCTCTCTCAACTGTTGTAAGAATCTCCTTGATATCCTAACCAAAACAAAAAAAAAAAAATCTGACTCTGCAACATTTTCCTGTATGAAGAAGAGGAATCATCAAAAATAATCCTTATTTTCTGGGGAGCCCAAGAGCTGCTGGAGGAGAATTATCACCACCTGTGCTGTGACCTTGGTCATTCTTTTCTAAATGGTGAAAGCCCTTGGCAATGTTTTGGCCTTCTACTTACAGAAATAGTTAATTTCTGTAATGAGCTATCACAGAAATAGTAA